GGATGTTCAGCTAAGCCTTGGGGCGTGGCCTGCCTCCCTACAATGGATGTTCAGCTAAGCCTTGGGGCGTGGCCTGCCTTCGTACAATGGATATTCGGGTTAGCCTTGCTCACTTTCTGTTGGGTCAGCCATCTGGCTCGTGCTCCACCCGCCAGTTCTTGGACTTGAGCTAGATGTGTGCTGTGTACCTGCCTGCCTGCCTGACAATCTTTGTTCTTCTGACGCAGAGGTCGGACGCTCCAACCTCTACAATTATGAGCCATTTCCATGACATAGACTTCTCTGTATTTCTGCACCCATGTTTGTTTCTCTAACAGTCCAGCGTTAAGAGTGGCTATAAAGCACTGATAGTTCTAGACAAACCCACTCCTCCGTAAATGTAAAAACTGCAACAACCAACTCCTGAATCTGACATTTTGAGAGAGAAAATTTGAGTCCGTCACATTTCTAAAAATGACCAGACGCGGAAAGGGGCTGCCCCCGTCAGGGTCTTCCGCCTGTGAAGTTTAGTACTGCCTTAGGCTCCCCTCTAACAGATAGGCTGCCCGCTTCACGAACGCACACAGGCCGGTCTTGCTCATGCAGAGCTCTGGCTCTCCCTTCAGTGGCCTTGGTGACGTTCTGTGATTCCCACGGCTCAGAGATGCTGATGTCCAGGCCCTGACTCAGCATGCGGTTACAGAGCAGCCTGTCGGGTGTCCCCTGCCCCACTGGGCCCTGAGGTGTTGACAGAATCGTGACTGAGACCCCAGAGCGGTCCTTTACCTGGAGGAAGGGAATGAAGTCCTCCTGCACCAGGAAGCCGCTTCCGGGGCTCATGAGCAGGTGCACAAACTTGGTGGCATCATCATGGCAGTTCTGCAGGATCCTAGAAGCAGACGCACCCGTGGGTGGTACACATAAGCACAGGTTTCAGTCTTGCAGACGTACCACCAATGCACAGCCCCAGAGAGTGGGACAGTGCATACACGTCGGTCACACCCACAGGCTGCTGTGAGGCAGAGGAGCCTCGCCTACCAGGTCAAACCCTGAAATCTGCACGTCCAAGCTCCAAAGTATCCACACTCCAGTGATCTGGAGGCCGCACGTCTGAGCGTCCAGGTACCTCAGGAACTTCCATGCACACGTCTAAATGTGCTCACGCCCATTACATCTCCACACAGACCCCAAACCCACACTGACACGCCTGTATACCCAAATGTTCATGAGTGCCCCCACCCACTAGGATGAACACTTGTATATCTATACACCCATGGGTCCCCACACCCACTAGGATGAACATCTGTATATCTATACACCCATGGGTCCTCACACCCACTATGATGAACATCTGTATATCTATACACCCATGGGTCCTCACACCCACTAGGATGAACATCTGTATATCTATACACCCATGGATCCTCACACCCACTAGGATGAACATCTGTATATCTATATACCCATGGGTCCTCATACCCACTAGGATGAACATCTGTATCTATACATCCATGGGTCCTCACACCCACTAGGATGAACATCTGATATTATACAACCATGGGTCCCCACACCCACTAGGATGAACATCTGTATATGTATACATCCCCCTTGGCCGTAGGTCTGCACTTCCATATGTCCACATGTCTGAGCATCCCTGTGTCTACAGACCCACACGTCTGAACCTGTACACTCGAGCTCCCCTGCCTCTCCCCCACCAGGGGTCAGGACTCACTTCCTCCACATGGCGATGAACTTGTGAACGGAGACGGAGCCCGTGCGTTCTCCCCCTGCACCGTAGAACAGCGGTCCCTTCCAGTACAGCGGGCAGCCACAGGCCTGTGTGGGAGCAGAAGAGGACACTGATGAAGCCTGACACCGCATGCCCTCCCTGTGTAACACATGCCTGCTCTGAGACCCATGTGACAACCGGGTCTCCGCTGCTGCCGGGGAAGCCTGACGCAGCCCCCAAACCGAGCCATGGTTGTGATGAGTGTCACGGTGCTCCCTTAAAATACAACATGCTTTCATTCCTCTGGCTGGGCCATGTACGTGTCCCAATTGTTGAGTGCGGTGGCAGCACTGTCTCTGAAACATCGCCCCCGGACACCATGAAAACATATCAGAAATCTGTACTGTGAGCAACAGGCAATTCTGCAGACACTTGCCAACTAAGCATCATACTTCTACATGACTGCCAACACACTCAGAAGGTGCTTGAGATGACGACATCATCCATCCACCATCTGCCGAGTGCAGGTAAAGCAGCACTCAGAGGAAACTCATAGTGTTAATCACACAGACCAGAAAACAAGGCTCAAGACCTAAGCTTGCGTCTCAGAGCCAAGTAATGGACATGGAGATGCACGAAATGCATAAAAACAATGAGAACAAAAAGTCTTCAGCCAAATCCTGGTGTGCATTGTGGGATCAGCACTGTACTGCTAATCACAAGGTCAGTGGTGCAAACCCACCAGCTCTTCCTCAAAAGCACCATATGGGGTCACTATGTGTGGGACTGACTGGACGGCTCTTCCCGCACTGCCCCTCCCTGACGAGCTGACCTTCTCTGTGTCTGCCTTCACACAGAAGGCGGTGACAGGTGGGTGGGACTCGGTGGAGCACGTGCTCACCTGAGGTGTGTCCGACAGGAGCTGCTTGGACCACGCTCCACACAGGGACCCCGGTCAGAACGTTCAGGAATCCTGTGGACACAGATGTGCTCACAGGGGTGAAGCCATATAACATCCTGTGTCACAAAACACATCCCGGATGTTTAGTGATGTGTACTTATCAAAGTGCAAGGTAGCAACACAAACAGTGCACAGATGGCCAGAGTGGAAGGGCTGGAGACACAAGCACATGGTGAGGACGTGGAGCAACAAAACTGTGGTGTGGTGCTGCTCAACCGTACAGGGGCCCCACGTCCCAGGAGCACAGAGCAGCAGTGCTACCAAAGCAGCTGATCACGTACAGAACAGAAACAAGGGTTTGTGCCCACAAAAGACACGGACAAGGACCTTCAGGGCACTTTACTCACAGTGTCCCCAAGACAGAAGCAACTCGCATGTCCCCAAGCAGCTAGATGCATGGATGGATGGATGGATGGATGGATGGGTGGATGGGTGGGTGGATGGGTGGATGGATGGATGGATGGATGGATGATGGATGTATGGATGTATGGATGATGGATGGATGTATGGATGATGGATGGATGTATGGATGATGGATGGATGTATGGATGGATGGTGGATGGATGGATGGTGGATGGATGTATGGATGGTGGATGGATGGATGATGGATGATGGATGTATGGATGTATGGATGGTGGATGGATGGTGGATGGATGGATGGGTGGATGGATGGATGATGGATGTATGTATGTGGGTGGATAGGTGGATGGATGGATGGATGATGGATGGATGATGGATGGATGGATGATGGATGGATGATGGATGGATGGATGATGGAT